GTGTGTGTGTGTGTGTGTGTGTGTGTGTGTGTGTGTGTGTGTGTGTGTGTGTGTGTGTGTGTGTGTGTGTGTGTGTGTGTGTGTGTGTGTGTGTGTGTGTGTGTGTGTGTGTGTGTGTGTACAAACGGTTACGCACCCAGTTTGTTGCGCATTGCTCTGCACTCGTGTCTGTTAATGCGGATACAGGTGTTTGACATGACATCCTTGTAGATTTGTCGGAAAACTAAATCCAGCACGAGAGGATCGCCAAACTTCTCTCCCGGGGAAAACACCTGCGTTAACAAATTAATAATAATAATAATAATAATAATAATATGAACGATAATAATAATTAATGGGTGCTTATAAGAAATTAATAATAATAATAATAATAATAATGATAATGATGTAATGATGTATTAATAATAATAATAATAATAATAATATAAACGATATTAATAATTAATGGGTGCTTATAAGAAACGAACTACTAGCTATACGTCTAATCTACACATTTTGAGGCGTAGCGTCTACTGCAACGTGCGACGATGACGTCACTACTGCAACGTGCGAAGATGACGTCACTACTGCAACGCGCGGCGATGACGTCACTACAGCACCGCGTGGCAATGACGTCACTACAGCAACGCGCGGCGATGACGTCACTACTGCATGTGATGACGCGTACGCGCGCATGCGTACCTCCTTCCTGACGTGCAGCTCCCAGGGCACCTTGTTGTAGGAGAAGAAGGCAGACGTGCTGGGCGCGTACAGCTGCGTGCGCATGCGCTCCAGCGACCGCTCGTCGTCCGGCAGCATCTTGATCGTGCGTCGCAGGTCGGGCGACCGTGGCGCCTCTACAAGAGTCACGCGGCGTGAGCGTTACAGAGTGGGGTGTGTGGGTGTGGGGGGGGGGAGTGTTCACGGTTAGCGTGTTTGCGTGCGTGTGCCGCGGTAGTGCGGTGCATGTTTGCCGGTTAGAACCATGTGTCGGTGGGTGGAAATGTGGTGACGTAATGTCGTATATATATATCTATATATCTCTATCTATCTATATATATATATA